GATAAACTCTCCTCCATATTGAGTTGCAGAATCCCTTTAAATCCATTACTGTGTCTTCTAGGAGATATCACACAAATAGACCTACCATATGGAGCTATTATTGTTTCAATAATATTTGTGTGTGCGTAAAAAGATTTGTGCGTGCGTAACCAGATTTGTGTGTGCGTAACCAGATTTGTGTGTACGTAAAAAGATTTGTGCGTGCGTAACCAGATTTGTGTGTGTGTAAAAGAAATATTTGCGCGTGTGTAAATAGATTTGTATGTACGTATCAAGATTTGTGTGTGCGTAAAAAGATTTGTGTGTGTAATTTGACATTTGTATCTGTAGCAGAACAATCTGTGTGTAAATAACCACGTTGTACAAAGAGAAGAACGGAAAAAAGCCTAAGTGCTACGCACAGGCTCTGTTTTACACACATCTCTTTTTGACACACCTCTGCCGCCAAGCGTGTGTCAAAAAGATTTGTAAGTGTAATGTGGTTGTTCTAGCAGTACACCAGCAGATGGTGCTGTTGTAGCTGGTTATTACCTACACCAGGGGTGCCCAAACCTTTTGCTTCCAAGGGCCAAAGTAAAAATTTGCCAGTCGGCTAAATACACCGATATTTCGCATGAAACAAAAATAAATGTAGATTTGATCAAGTTCAATTAAATGCATTAATTATTGTCTATCAGTGCAAATCACAGCTGAATGAATGAAATCAACACAGTCTTAGTGAAGTGGAGACTCCAGGGAAATATGCAGGTTTGAGGAGACTCCAGTACGGAAAGATTCCGGCCGGGTAATCAGGGTCCAGAGGAGGGAGATTTTCTGTCATGGCTTATTTACAGCTTAAAATCATATAAAAAACCTCTAAAAGAGAACAGAAACATACATTTTCTATGTAACTAAACTGTTTTTTTAAATGCCACTTGTAAACAAATAATGTTCCTGCTAGTAAATGAAAGTACTAATTTATATTAAATAATATCATACCCCCAAATTAAATAATCTATATTTTTAACCTGCTCATGTCAGTAAACTGTTTGTTGAAGACCTTTTTCTAAACAGTTTTGCATTACTATATAGTGATTTATAATGTATAGGTTTATTGTACTAGCAAATGACATTTACTTTACAAAAGTAGTCTATTTTCATATATTTATTTTGAACAAAAGTTTTTAACTACATTTGAATCATATTACTTTATCTTAGCTTTTATCAAAAAGGGGAGACATCACTGATCAGTAGATCTGGTTTTAGCACACTTTTAAACAATACATTTTAACATTAAGTAATGAATTTGGGAACATAATTGCTAACTGCATTTTCTAAACATGATCAGGTTTTAACTCTGTTTTAACTTAATATTTTTAACATAGGACAAGTATTCTCAATTAGTTGTGAACTGAATATTAAACTAACGAAATCAGACTAGTTAACCCTGATTTGTTCCTGGAGTTTGTTTTGTTTTGCCTAAACACAGTACAACATTTATAAACAATCAAAACAAAGTAACTGTTAAAGAGTCCGTGTTTCCGCTCCTCCAAAGGGCTCTTGAACGCATCATAAAACTCAGCGTAAGTTCTGACATTCAATGATCGCGAGTGAAGACGGCGCTTACCGGCTTCTTTCATGGGGTTGTAGAAGGGTTTGTTTTGCGCGGTATTTGTTGCTTCTACTTACGTGGATCGTGCGCTGCAATCCCTGCTTGTCCTGCTTGAACTCACTCTGAAGTGTGTGTGTCGGTCTTTTTTAACACACCGGGTGGGTGCGGATTGCGCGGGTGAATAGTTCCACTCGCCAATTCCCTCCGGTGAGGAGGGGGAGTGGCAGTTCGCCAGCACAATCCTCTCAATTTGATAAAACATTGAATTGCTCAAAAAAATTATAATAGTAGGCTGAAAAAAAAGAACATAAAGGTGCTTTGCACCCAATTGTTTTGAAAGATGTGTTTGATTTTAAAAAAACATTTTAGTGCAAGTAGATGTGAACCATGAGTGAGGAGTGTATCTCGATACAACAGTAAAGTACTGGACAGTCTGAATTCAGAGGGTGTTGGTGCGCCCGTGCGATTTCAGACACGTCACTGTTTGTTCAGTGAGGTTGAGGGACGCAGTTAGAAGCTTACAACGGAGGTGGGCAATGTTAGGCGGGCCAACTGAAATGGTCCGGCGGGCCAACTTTGGCCGGCGGGCCAACTTTGGCCCGCGGGCCCCACTTTGGGCACCCCTGACCTACACGCAAGCAAACCAGCTGAGTTTGTGGCACTAAAGTGTAGATAGAGAAAACCGAAGGATTTAAGAAGAAGAAAAGTTCAGGATGACAAGGAACACTAAAATTCCCACAAAATCCGACCTTTATGAAAGCTGTAGGTTCTCTGCCAGCTGTTTTAGTTTACTTTGAGTTCTATGGGGAAAATGTCTGTGTAGCCCACGTGAATTTAGTCTGCAGTACGCGAGAATTCTTCAGCTCCAAGCTAGTAACACCCTATCCAGTTATTGTAATAGATCCATGTATAATACAGTGGTGTGAATGACAGGATTTTGAATATAGGAAAAAAATATCATAAACAGCTGCGGTAGTGTGTCTTGTCAAGGCAGTAGGTTTTGGTTTGCTTGCGTGTAGGTAATAACCAGCTACAACAGCACCATCTGCTGGTGTACTGCTAGAACAACCACATTACACTTACGAATCTTTTTGGCACACGCTTGGCGGCAGAGGTGTGTCAAAAAGAGATGTGTGTAAAACAGAACCTGTGCGTAGCTCTTAGGCTTTTTTTCGTTCTTCTCTTCGTACAACGTTATTTACACACAGATTGTTCTGTTACAGATACAAATGTCAAATTACACACACACAAATCTGTTTACGCACGCACACAGTCCAAGTTACACTTGCGAATCTGCGAAGGCAGGACTGCGTCAAAAGATTCGTGTGTAAAAAAAAAACGTGTGTGTAAAACGTACTTTTTTTTTCTTTACACACACACAAATCTTTCAACGCACACACAAATCTTTTTACGCACACACAAATCTTGATACGTACATACAAATCTATTTACACACGCACAAATATTTCTTTTACACACACACAAATCTGGTTACGCACGCACAAATCTTTTTACGTACACACAAATCTGGTTACGCACACACAAATCTGGTTACGCACGCACAAATCTTTTTACGCACACACAAATATTATTGAAACAATAATAGCTCCATACTACCACATGAATCATTCTCCTCTCCTCATCTCTCTTACTCTCGCTAAGAAGGGTATATACCAAAACTGGAAAAACAAAAACACTTGCAATATCAACCACTGGACCAACATACTCAGAGACCATATTTTATTAGAAAAACAAACAGGAGAGAAGCAGAAGCATATGGCGGCCTTCACTAAATCATGGACTTTATTCATAAATAACCTCGGACCACCGCACCTCAAGACACAGAAAACACCTTCCTAGAATTATTGCTTACACTAATAGCAATGTATTGTATTGTTGTTGTTGTTGTTATTATTATTATTTACGTACATATGTGTGCGTGCGTGTGGGCGTGTGTGCGCGTGTGTGCGCGTGTGTGTGTGTGTGTATGGGTTATAGACATTGACATGGTAATATCATGACACTGCCCGTCTGTGCCAGCCCGGTGCGCGGATAAAGGCTGACATCTACCAGTGTCCTGCGCTCCGCTGTCTTCCGGGGGCCCCGCAGGAGGGGAGGTTACCATGCCCAGGCTCATTATTTAATGCATCACATAGATTTAGACTGATTTAGGGGGAGAAGAAGGAAAAATAAATAAATAAATAAAAATAAAAATAATAAAATAAAATACAAAATGAATGAATAAGTAGATAAATATAATAATAACATGAATAATATGTGCATATAATGATAATACACAAGTCAGGGTAAGCAAAAGCTTATTTAATGCATGACACGTTTAGTTAAGAAAAAAACTTGGGAAAAAGGAACAAAATAGGAGAGGGAATGGGCCGGGCGTGGGCTCCCTCCCCCCCTTTTTGGGGTGGGGGCCTGCTTGGGGGTCTGTGTGTGTGTCGGATTTGGTTTTGATGTTGGCTGGGTTCCGCTTAGCTTGGTGAAACTCAGGCGGGCAGACTTTATATGTTATCTTATCTGTGGGGTGTATGTGTGTGTGTGTGTGTATGTGGGTGTGTGTGTGTATGTGTGGGTATAGACCATAGACTGTATAGAAACATCATGGTGTCATTATGATGATGATAAACAATCTGTAAATATTTTGTAAATTTGTTAATGTAAATACTCTATGCTGTTTCTCTGTTTACCTTCGGTATATCTATGACTGTATACTGTTTGCTTGTATTGCCTTTTTTATTAACCCCTCCCCCCCATCTCCCACTTCATGTCTCCCCCCCCTCCTATGTGCCCTTCTGGGTTTCTTCTTTGGCCCCCTGTATCTCCAACTACATATTGTTTGTAATCTCTGTCTAAAATATATCTGAACTAGTCCTTTTCTTTGTTTCTATTTTTTTTTTTCTGTATATGTGTTTGTCTGCAATAAAAAAAATTAAAAAAATGAAAGCACGGATCCATCCTGTCTTGTATCAACGGTTCAGGCTGGTGGTGGGTGTGTAATGGTTTGGGGGATACTTTCTTGGCACTATTTGAGTCCCTTAGTACCAATTGAGCATCCTTGCCACGCCATAGCCCACCTGAGTATTGTTGCTGATCATGTCCATCCCTTTTTGACCACAGTGTACACATTTTCTGATTGCTTTTTCCAGCGGGATAAAACACCTTGTCATAAAGCTCAAATCATCACAGACTGGTTTTTTGAACACGACAGTAAGTTCACTGTACTGTAATGGCCTCCACAGTCACCAGAGACCATATTCATAAAGATTCTTAGTGCCAAGAGTTTTTTGGGTGATGTGTTTTGTGTCATTGAGAGATTGTTTTTGTGTGGAAAGTAAACCTTTTGTCTTATAGTAGTGTGCAGCTTCTTTCAGGGATAAACCAAGGATCGAAGTTCATGGCCCAAGTTCAGCTGGCAGACTCCAGGGCGGAGGAGGGGGAGTGGAGCACAGCTCTGCTGGACTGCTTTGAAGATCCAGCCTCTTGTGAGATTTCAGTTTTCTTGTGGTTCAGAAGCAATTGATTAGATGTTAAAATCAAATTTTACCACCAACATTGTGTGATTGAAAAAAGCTCAAAATGTTTTCATTGAAATGTTGTACATAGGGGTTTTCACACTGACCCTGGGTCGACCTGAAATAAAGACATATTCAACTTTTTGAAGATTTTCAGTTACGATGATGTTCCATTAAAAAACAGACCTGCAGCCTTATTTACTGAACAGGATGGGAAACTTTTTTTAAATGTCCATGGTGCAAGCATGGGTCACCGAGCACCTTACAATTAAAGAACCTAATTTAATATAATAATATAAATTTATGAATGAGACCTGCTTAACCTTCTCATCCCCTTTGGGGTCAATTTGACTCCGTTTAATGATTATCATTCAAAAAATAGTACACTCACACCCTGGGTATGAAGATATGCATGTGTTTGACCTTCTGTACTCAAACCAGCCTAAGTAGAACTGATGTACTGTACTGTCGAGGGCGGGGTATTCCTGCCAGGATCTTGGTAGTTTATGCAAATCAAGTAATGTTTGATAAATACCCGGAGGTGATATTTGATCCATCCCTCATGTAACTTCTCACTTATGTCTAAAAAGCTCCTCTCTTTTCTGTAATAGTATGATGTAATTATACCACTGACAGCATGCTCAGAGTAGTTTTCTGTCCAAAATAATGCATAATATTTCTTCCTTAAAACAAGTGTTGTTGTACTCAGGTTGCTATGGTTTCTGGTGCGGCCCGTGTTTGGCGTGCACCGTGGCAGGTCGGATGAAGGAGTGCTACTGCCTCCCCCTGTGTGACTACTGCCTGATTCTGAGTTGGCCAGGGGCGATCCCTCCAGCCGCACTCGGCCTGAGGATCGCCCTGAGAAAAAATTTCAACATCCAGGTACAGTGAAATATGTATAAATATCCTAACCCTGTATGTGTTTTTTGAGCAGGCTATTCTCTAAAACTCACTGAGCAGTGTCTTAGATCCCTCAGTCTGCTCTTTCCGAGATCCAATCAGAGCCTTTGCTGTCCCCGAGCATGATCCGTCTGCCTTTTAGATTTTTTGTTTGTGTAAATTAGTTATGCTTTATTGTCCCTGTAGGAAATGTTGTCCTCTGTATTTGACCCATGCCCTGGTGGCACAGAAGGTTCTGGGTTCGAAGCCTGGTCGAAAGGATCTCTCATAGTGGAATTTACATGTTCTCCCAGTGTCTGTGTAGGTTTCCTCCGGGTGCTAAATTTTACCCTACCGCTAAAAACATATAAAATAGTTCAGGGTGGATGAGTGAGCGTTTTTGAGTGTGACTGTGGGACAACAGATGCAAATTAGCCCATGGCTATAATCCGGAGGAATGTGTTCATTAATATGCACTGTCCCAACCAAGTAAACTATGAATAAATCCACCCCCCTAATGGAGCCTTCAGACCGCCAACGCTGGAACGCAGCTTTGGCGCAATAGAGCACTAGATGCACACTTTCTAAATTTCAGACGCTTTGAAACCCCGCACCAAGCCGCCCCGCGCCGCTCCACAACGGCCCGCACTACGGCCCAAAGTAGGTGGGGCCGCCGTGTGATGATTTGTTGCTGTAGCCATAGAAGAACGTTAGTAAAATTGTAATGAATATGATAAGAGCTGTTTGGCACCCCATGTAAAACTTTGCCTCAATCTGTAGGGGGCGCTAATGGGCCTATTTCAAATATTTCACTTTGACCGGACCTAAACCCTTGAGTTGAACATTGGATTCAAGTTTTGTACATATCAGACTTTGTTTGTGCAAACGGGAGCAAATTTAATATTGTCCAAAACGGCCAAAAAAATGTCACATTTTGCAGCTCCCCTGTTTGAACAACGTTTCACTGATGAAAAATCGCCGAAGTCATTTTCAAGGTACATGTGTTGAGATGATGTGGAGCGATTTTGAGGCCAATCGGTGAAACGGCCGAAGAGGAGTCGCTTTCCAACCGACATAATAACATAACCGATAATTTTTCCATTTTGCAGTGAGATTTATGGGCCTCCTGTTTGTCAGAGGGCGGAGCCATGATAACATTTTGGTCGTATCTTGACTTGAGGAACATGTGTACCGAATTTCATGGCTCTACAACAAACTTGACCTCTGAAACTCCCATTGGCTGTTGTAGGTGGCGCTGTTCTGGCATTTTGAGTCCCATAAAAATAAACACCAAAATATCAAATCTTTCACCAGGTCTGATGTTTGGGCAAAATGTTACAACTTTTCATACATGTTCAAAACATTTCAAAACAATAGGCCCTTTCCCCGTTAAATATGTAACAATAAAAGAAAGTTAAAAGGGATATCCCGGTCGAGGCACGCGTCTCTGATGTGACTGCTCCTGCACACAAAATACACCGGCAGGGAAACGGGCCGAAAGGAACCATACAAGAGAACCTGGGTCGTCTGAAAACTTACTGGCAAGGCAGGATTCCCCTGCCTTTCATGTAGTCCCGTAGGATACTTGTCTGACTCCCGGGTGTGGGTCTCCTCTCGACCTCCGCTCCCAGCAGCCCTCGCCTATGGAACACAGAAACAGCAGCGGACTTTGATGCTGACAGAGTTAAGCAAGCGGCTTTTTGTGTAAAGTTCTTCTCCAATTATGCAGCTCGGCAGTGTCTCTGTGTCCAGAGACCTTCCAGAGACTATATATAACAGCAGTATGCGTTCACGGTACTTCCACATCGCCTATACCTGCAGTTTGTGTGTGTTTGTGAATTCCTAAACATTTGTTTTATGTTAATTTGATACAATCCAAGATTATAGGCTTTTACCATGGTAAAAACACACAACACACAAATTCATATTTTTTTTTTGAAAACATGTCTTTTGAAACGGTATTTTTCCTTACCCACTGCTTTTTTTTCTTTAATGTTCAATCTTAATTTCTCTCAGGGCTCTGTGGTGAAAGACATCTGTATTTCCTGGTGCTGCTCATGGTGCTCATGGTGTCAGATGCATCGAGAGTTAAAACGGAGGAGCAAAGTTCCAACCATCGTAAACGTCCAGAATGTAGTCCAAATGCAGCCAGCCCCCATGATGATGCCACAATCCAACATGATGATGCCGCAATCCAACATGATGATGCCGCAATCCAACATGATGATGCCGCAATCCAACACGATGATGCCGCAAGATCCCATGTTGATGCCGCAAGATCCCATGATGTCTTCCACCGACAAATCAGTATAAAGTCAGAAAATTTTCATTCAAAATCATTACAAAATGATTTTGAATGATGATGAATCACACTGAAATGACCGATAATAATCCCATAATCCACATGTGTAAAACCATCTTCTCATTTTTTGCTGTAATTTGTCTCCAAAAACTAGTCAAATGTGTTTTTCTTCCATTTTATACTTGACAAAATATAGACACAAAAATACAGGTTGCCTTGTTACCTTTTTCAATTCAATGTGAGCCTGTAAACCTGCCTTTCACCTTTCTTAGTACTACATTTTCTGCCGATAATAAATCTCTTTTGAACTTTTTACTTGACTTTGGTTTGTAGGAGAAGGTGCAAACTCATTGGGCTATTATATTATTTTATGTTTTAAATTCCAATCTATTACTTTTGTTTGACAGGAAAGTTACTATATTACACATTAGTAAGGAGTCCGGAGTAACAATTCCTTATGTGTTCATATACAATACGATTTATTCTTGTATAGCCCTAGGTCACAACAGAAGTCATCTCAGAGGACTTAACAAAACCATTGAAATCACCAACACAGGTCAGAGAATCAACAGTTAAAACACATGAAGAATATAAAGCACACACAGAAGAAAATGTCCATACATGTTGTAGAATGCTAAAGTGTCCTGATCATCACCAATCCGTTCTGTTGGACACTAACTGTCCAACAAGACCCTCCTGCATCGACAAGGAAAAACTCTTAAAAAACCCAGTGGGAAAAAGTGAGAACCCTTGGGGAGAACTAGGGAAACCCACAGGGAGGGAGACCCATATGAGAAAGGGATCCGCTCCTCCGGACGGACAGGCTAATGATCTAGGACCTAAGCTAGCTACAGAACGTGGACCAGTGGCCGCTGAACGTGGACAGGTCCGGTGCAGGACTGAAGCACTCCCAGGCGGGTCGGGCGGGGCAGTCCGCAGGTGTAGATGGAGGAGGCCAGGCTCAGAGATCCCGTCATCGTACCATGAAACAGACAATGGGACAACGGGTGAATAGCAATGAACAAACTACAGTCAGAATCCTAAAAGTGCTAAACAGATAAAGTAGGTAAAGTAGGAAGGAGGAGAGGATAGTGCTCAAGTTACCATACTTCTCCCAGCAAACTGACTCCCTATGCAGCTTGACTGACACTCTGAGGAGTTTAGCCTTCCCCGAGTCTTACCTTCCTAACCATATGCTAAACTAAAGAGGACTGTTTTAAACCTGCCTTGAATAAAGAGATTCATGGATTGCACACCAGGTGTGCAAACCGATCCAAGCAAACCTAATTATATATTATATATCATATACAATTTTATAGATCATATATACCATATATATCATATATAATACACAACATAACATACAGCATAATATATAATATAATATACAACATAATACAGCATATATATATATATAATATATACACCATATATTATATATTACCTAATTATATGCTAAATTAAAGTAAAGTGCTTTAAGCCTGGCCTTGAATGTGGAGACCGTATCTGCTTCCTTAACATAAATGGGAAGCTGATTCCACAGTAAAGGAGCTTGGTAGCTAAATGCTCTGCCGCCAACAGTGACCTTTGAGACCTTAGGGACCACCAGACGTCTGGCGCTTTGTGAGCGCAACGCTCGACTTGGTTGATACGACACTAACGTGTCTTGGAGATAAGAGGGAGCCAAGCCATTTATGGCTTTATATGTTAAGAGAAGGATTTTAAACTTTATTTCTGTACTCCACAGGGAGCCAGTGGAGTGATTTTAACACCGGAGTTATGTGCTCCCTCCTTTTGGTACCTGTTAAGATCCTAGCTGCTGTATTCTGAACGAGCTGGAAGCTCTTCAAAGAGGCTTTAGGGCACGCTGCCAGTAAAGCGTTACAGTAGTCGAGCCTTGAGGTGACAAACGCGTGAATGAGTTTTTCCGCGTCACTTTTAGGAAGGAAATTCCTAATTTTAGCGATGTTCCGTAAGTGGAAGTACGCCGTTTTAGTTGCTTGGCTTATATAAGCCTTGAAGGAGAGTTCTTGGTCAAAAATGACTCCAAGATTCCTCACAGTGTTACTGGGTATAATACTGACATTATCGAGAGTAATTATCTGGTTAGTGAGGGTGTCACGCAGGCGCTTCGGACCGAGTAGGATCACTTCTGTCTTCTCCGGGTTGAGAAGTAGGAAGTTAAGAGTCATCCACATTTTAAGGTCCTTTATGCAGGCACTGAGCTTTTCTAGCTGATCTGTCTGATTTGGCTTCATCGACAGATAAAGCTGTGTGTCATCTGCGTAGCAGTGGAAATTAATTCCATGCTTTTTAATAATGTTTCCTAATGGCAGCATGTAGAGAGTAAAAAGAATCGGTCCGAGTACCAAACCCTGCGGCACACCGAATTCTACTCCAGAATAAGGTGACGAGTTCTGATTTACGTTGACGAAGTGATACCGATCTGATAAATAGGATTTAAACCAGCCAAGGGCTGTTCCTCTAAGACCTATATCACATTCTAGCCTCTGCAGTAGAATGCTGTGGTCTATTGTGTCAAATGCAGCACTAACCCACTAAACATCCGACGTCCACTCAACCTCCAGATCACGTCAAAATCGCGTCGGTCGGTTGTGACCTTTTATTTACGTCCCAACGACGTCTGTGCAAGGTGCGCATCTGGACGTAAAACAATGACCTCCCATATACGTGGATATGACGTTCAATCCCCACCTCCCCTAGACGTCGAAAACAGGTCATCGGCCGACCAACGCAGTACGTCTTGATCTAGCAATTCAATATATAGGCTGTGAAGCAATGTAAGTGTACCTGACGGTAGTGTAGTGGTTAGGCAAATGTGAGCAGCCTTGGTTACGTGGGTTCGAGCCTATGTGTGTATTATTATCTTTACATATTTGTTTTGATTTTTAACGAACAATTTTTTTCTGTTTGGTTAAAGACTAATAAACACTCAACATAGGATTACGTAGTGGCTAATAATAAAACTTGTGAATGTATGCATTTGTTGTGCTAACAATCTCAAGTTTGCAAATAAGGGATGAGCACTTGAGATTTCATGCAAATGCATGGGTTCACAAGTTTTATTATTAGCCACTACATAATCTTATGTTGAGTGTTTATTCGTTTTTAACCAAACAGAAAAATTGTTCGCTAAAAAGTGAAAAGTCAAAAGTTTTCCGACAGGGATTTGAACCCGCGTCGTTGCGACTGAAGTCTCATTACGCAACCGCTACACCACGGCCAGGCATTTTTTCTGACTACTGTGAAAAAATAATAGATAACACCCTAAACAACCGACGCACACTTATGCGCCGCGCGAGTATAACTTAGGCTTTACAGCCTGACACGTGAGTCGCTCGGTCGAGGACCTGTTTTCCACGTCTAAACGACGTAAGGTGTGCTGACGTTGATATGACGTTGAATCTGTACCTCTGTCGCTGCCCTGCTTTATTTACTTGGAATCACCCTCTCTAGTAAGTACACAGTCTGCACAGTTTTTAGATATAGATGTATCATTTCCACATTGAAAAGAGTTGGAGACAGAAAGTAAGTTGTTTTCTCACGTATACGTGGATTTTGAAAGGTGCCAAAATGCGAAAACGCAATATTTTGCATCTGTGGTCCATCAGCAGTTGCCTGGTGTGTAAACTGAGCATTAGCAGATTCACTGTGGTTGCTTCTGTGAGCGCATACAGTGATTGAGAAATCCCTGACTCGGGTCGCTTTCTCGCGCGCTGTTTAAGCGGAAGTGACGCAATGCGCGTGCCAGTTCACTGTTTTGGCTCCATATGTTCCCTCGCGTTCAGTGGATCTGTCCCGTCCTCGTATCACGCGTATTTGAAGATGGATCCAGCAGTTTCTTCTAAGAGTCCAGCTTCAGAATCACAGTCTGGAAGATGGTCACCAGTGCTACGAAAAGAACGAAGCGAGAGGCCGACCGGCGGAGAGCTCAGACCCGAGTCGCTCTCGGCCATGCGTTTGAGAAACGGAGAAGCCTCCGAAACGCTCTGGGGATAAAATTGACCCTCATTTGGCGTTTATCTTGATTAGAAGGTAAGACGGTGACTCAGTTCTAAACGTCCTAGTGTCTTGCACGAATACGAAGAGATATAGCATTATTATGTGTTAGCTTTTTGACTTAGCAACATGGAACCGAGGTGAAGTTAGCCGAACGTTTGATATTCGCCTGATATTCGAACAAAATCCCCCTGGATTCAAAGTCTGTCCGTATTTTCAGTTTAGTGAAGAGTGTAGTATTAAATGCTGTTCACAATGTTGCCACCTATATAAAAAAAACTTGACTTAGGCTGCAGCTGACGATTTATAACACGAAAAACAATGAAGATGAAGTCTCCGCTCGTACGTGTGATAAGCTCTCAGCAAGGGACCGTCTGCAAAGTGCAAGATTTGACAGAACGTTGCAGATGGGTTGGTGAATACAATAAAAACTGCTTTTAAAAAGTAGTTTTTCCCAGTTTTGATGGGTGTAATAGCTCCATTTGAACAATAGCTGGCTACTACAGGCAAGAATTTGGGAAAAATATTGTTTTCCCCTTCACAGCAACAAAAATGAAATTGAAAAAATTCACTAAAAATTAACAAAGATATTTTTCCCAGTTTTGATGGGTGTAGTAGCTCCATTTGAGCAATAGCTAGCTACTACAGGCAAGAATTTGGGAAAAATATGGTTTTCCCCTTCACAGTAACAAAAATGAAATTGGAAAGATTTACTAAAAATAACCCGGTGGAGGTCGTCTCTGCAGCCAGAGCACGGTGCGGGACACACCTTCGCCTCTCGCAGCGTATCAGCTGCTGTTGTACTGAATTCTCGGATTCGTTCAGCAAACTGATCAGGATTTATCGGATGAGTGGTTGCAGTCTCAATCAGCAGAGCCTCCTCTCCAGACGCTCCACAAAAGAGTCAAGTAAGAACTTGATAAAATGCTAGATATGCTAACTTGAGAGGGTGGAGGGGAAAGCGCAGAAACTTGCTCTGATCTGCAAGTAA